TCCTCAGAGAGCCAATTTTCCCGTCTGCCCGCTTGCAATCTACTATGATTTTCAGAGTGCAGAAACTTTTTTCATAGTCCTTTTCCCCTGGAGGTTAAAATGATATTTTAGATCCAGAAATAGGAAGAGAAAATTTCCAATTATACTTCTGGTGTTTTATTATTCCAGCCAATCCATATAAATGCAAATAGTAGAAAATTAGAAAGAGTCCCTGAATTCGCTGTCTTCCCTCTGTGATGGCCGAGCTGCCCGTCACCAGCATTCACAAGGTGAGCTTGTTAACGCAGCCGCTTGCTTTCTGTGTGGAAGCAGCAAATAACACCTATTGGGCTATCTAATTAGCAGCCCCACCAATAGTGCTGGGCAGAGTAGAACTGCCGGTTTCCCTGACAAACCCCTGCCAGGTTTCCTGTTGTACTGGAAGCACTTGAAATGGTGCCCATTGAGCCCCGTGGTGCCTCCCAGGCTGTGGCGCACCGTTGTTCACTCCATTCTGTGAGTGCAGGTGCTCCAAGTGCGAGGTGCTGCTTGGGACGAAGTGAGGAGAGCAGAGCTGCTACAGGCCATGGCCTCCCCATAGGACCAAAGCCAGTAACCATGGCAACAGAAAACAGAGGACGTAAGCACTTAGTTCACCAACTGCATTAGCACCTCCACCGTTCATCCCTCTCCACATAATCAACTGGGAAATGATGACAAGAGCTTCCACTTGGGAAGTTTATGTTTACTGTTTCAACTATTTCAACAAACAACAGATTCTCAGTGACCTCAGCTCACATTGTGGCCACCAAGCACCCCGAGAGCTGGATGGAGATGGTGGATAGAGACAATGGCTCACCAGACACTCTGACCTCTAATGCAGTCCTCCTGAGGCTGCCTTTCCCCACCAGAAGGGAAGGCCCAACCTGCCCCACCCCAAGCTCCTGCACAGAAGAGGTGACGGCAGAGCGGGATTGCTGGGGTGGGCTGGTGTCTCCTCCACACACCTCCTGGGGGAGAACATGCTGGTGAAGTCCTGCCAACACTGCTGCTGCTACCATGGGAGGGAACGGATCATAACAGCAAGGGAAGCTGGACCAGCAAAATTAGTTCCACCAGCTTTACCTATGCTGGCACATCTGCATCCTGAGCCCCATCGGAACTGCAAGCAAAGTGATTGCATGTCACACTGGTATAAAGACCCAAGTCTAGGCTGGGCATGGTGGTACACACCTGTAATTCCAGCTACTCTGGGAATGAAAATAGGAGGATTGTGATCCAAGTCCTGAATGAGAGTGTATAACCCTATGTGATAGACAAATCAAAAAGCAAAAGAATTGAGGCATAACTCAAGGAACAAGGTGCTTGCCTAGCAAGCCCTATGTTCAAGCTCTAGTAAGACCAAAGGGCAGAAAGGAAGGAGGGAAAGAAGGAAGGAAGGAGGGAAAGAAGGAAGGAAGGAGGGGGAGGAAGGAGGGGAGGAAGGAAGGAAGGAGGGAGGGAAGGAAGGAAGGAAGGAGGAAAGGAAGGAAGCAAGGAAGGAAGGAAGGGAGGAAGGAAGGGAAGGAAGGAAGGAAGGAGGAAAGGAAGGAAGCAAGGAAGGAAGGAAGGGAGGAAGGAAGGAAGGAAGGAAGGAAGGAAGGAAAGGAAGGAAAGGAAGGAAGGAAAGGAAGGAAGAAAGGAAGGAAAAGAAAATTTTTAAAAAGGATCAGACTCCAAACTCTGCCTTCATAGTTAGAAAATTAGCCCTGTGTGGGGTGTGTGTGTGTGTGTGTGTGTGTGTGTGTGTGTGTGTGTGTGTGTGTTAGAGGGACAGGAATAAGGAAAGAAAGAAAATGTGAATATATTTTAGAAGAAAGTTTTAAGTATATCAAGGATAAAAGTGGGGAAGAGTAGAAAAAGAAACATTTCCTGTTTTCCACCCAGGAAAGGCGAGTTGGAAACGCGGCTGGCAGTTTCTGTCTGTGGCGTGCCTACGTTTGTGCTGAGTGCATACACACCGTCCAGCAGTCCCACAGCTCCCGAGCCTTAGACACTGACTGAGTGGGTAAGATGGGGTAGGCCCACTAGACACTGAGGTCACCCTTTACACAACTACTTAAAGAATTTTAAAAGCTGGAAGTGGCGCTGTAGCTCAAGTGGTAGAGTGCTCGCCTTGAGCTGAAGAGCTGAGGGACAGCGCCCAGGCCCAGAGTTCAAGCCCCACAACCGAAAAAAAAAAAAAAAAAGAATTTTAAAAGTGATATTTTTTCCAAAAGCCAGGGTACCCTTCAGGCTTTTTGCTAGATATGTTTTTCATATTTTGTTTTTACCCAGTCATGAAGGGTTCCCAGATTCTTGCCATTTCAAAGGAGAAGATGGTTTTAGATGGCCACTCTGTGACCTGCGGCCACCACCCCTCCCCGCCACCCCCCCCCCCCGTGGTGTAACTTAACATTAAATAGGAAGTAGTACGTTAGTGCTTCCTTCTTGGCTTTAAAATGAGTCTCTCCTTTTGTTGATAAAAATCTATTTTCTCTATCTCTGCATCCATCAGGCTCCATTTCCCCCCTAAATGACTTTGGTCTCATTGAATCTTAAAGGGGTACAGAGGGCCCATCTTCTATAGCTTCCTGTGGAGTGCCCAAAAGTGTTCCCTTTGGGTTAGATAGGGACAGAGAAGCCCCATCTGATTTAGACATTGACCTGAGAAATTCAGCTGGCAGGCTGACTAGAAGATCAGAATTGGAAGTTATCAAATTATTCTTTAAACTAAAAGAAATTGACGTGATATTAGTGTAATTAGTGCTATTAATGTTGTGCTATTATTTTTAAGGAATCATAGAACATGAGCAATGGAAATGTCTGTGGGTTTACCATATTGAATATTTGCAGAGAAACAGCATAATAGAATGGCCTCAGCCAGAGCCTCTGAGTAGGCAGATCACAGCTATCCTGCATGGACAAGCTTTTACATTGATAGTGAGTGTCTCCTAAAGGGCTGGGGTTCGGTTTAAATCCTCTAATGGCCTACAGGAAGAGGATTCTTGGCTCCTCAGTGAATCTGGCTGTTTTTGTTTCTGTTGTAAGAACTTAAGAGAAATACATTTTATTTTTGAAATGTAAATCTGAATGCTTCTGCATCTAATAGTTTTAAAACCCAAGCCTTAGGCTACAACATTTTTCTCCACCTTTGAATAAGAACTTTTAAAGCCATGACCTGCCTTACAGTTACATATACAGAGAATCATAGGTTTACCTAAGTCCAGAGTCCCCGGGGCTAGGGCAGATAGCCGGCAGCTTTTAAGTTTGAGGTGCTTTGTTTCTCCAGTTTATCTAGGTGTTTACGCTCAGGTCATGGGTTTGCTTCTAGAGAGACTGTGTTATTACCCCGATGGAAGAATATTTTTTAAATATTTCAGGTTCCATCTGCTTCCCTCATACCTAGAATGTTTGATGAAAGAGAGAACAGCCCCCAAGGGGACGGGTATAAATTTGAATCCAGCCAACACAGGGAAAGTGAAGCAGGTAGCATGCTGCATGTGTGATTCCCCCCCCCCTTCCACACCACCTTCGGTAGGGTCTGTCACCGCACAGCCCACGGAAGCATCCCGAGACCTGGGACCGGCACTGCTGCCTCTGTGGAGACACACATCATGCATGTGTGTATTGAGTTCTGGAGTCGTGACACCAAGCCCCAGGAGAGGGTAAAGGGAGAGCAGGCCCCAGGTCTTCAAGACCATTGCATCTGCCATGAGGGCCAGGGGAGGAGGGAGAGACAGGCCAGGCCAGGGGGCAGAGCGCAGAGCTCACACAGGATCAAGCGTCACTGACCTTTCAGATCACCCCTTCCTCTAACTAGTCTTTATGGCGTTATGCCAGCTCAAATCATGCTTCACTTTCATCTGGGGGGCAAAGGTAAGAGGAGCACCTATTTAGGGCCAAGGACAGAACTCAGACCCCAGAGGCCTGGCATTTCCTCAACACCAAATGAGGACTGTGGCTTGCAGTTTGGTTTGGTTTGGTTTGGTTCAGTGTAACTACTCACCCTGAATACCACTCTGTGAAGACCGTATCACTGTCTGAAATGAGTGACTGAGGACAGTGTGTTCCCGGAGCTTCCAGGATGCCGGGTCTGGGGACTGTGTGTGGCTTTCAGGGAAAATGTTCACCATATTGCAGAATGCAACATGTACAGACACTTCCCATATCACCATACTTTGGAAATAACACACAAGTCAATGTTACATTATTCTTTCTTTTTAAAAATACACCAGGAGTTTTTAACAGAAGGGCACTGGGCCCTTCCCCGGAAGCCCCAAGTGTTGCCACCAAGCCGAGCTTTGAGAAGCTCTCCCAAAGGACTGCCCTGCCCCACCTGCAGCCAGCTAGGCTCGCTGGTGTTTTTGTTGTCACCAGCAGTATTTCATGTTTTAAGACTACTAAAGGTAATAAATACCCAAGACAAAACATCAATCCTTATATAAATATATTTGCACTCAGGATTTGCACTCAGGGAAGGGAGGCAGGAATTACATCCAGAGAGCTCCGCTCATGTCTAATTGATCGATTTATTGATTGATTGACACACTGTGACACTATTCATCTTAACTTTGGTTAATTCAACAAGTCTATCTTATAAACTGAAGCAGCACAACCCAAAATAATGGGTTGAGAAATCACATTGAAGAGAAATGTGGCCTATACATACTTTACAGTATTCAATAGTATGATATCACAATATTGCAGACAGGGAATAAAAGCATACTAATGTCATGACTATAAAAAATGCTCACAAGATCTGCAGAAAAGGATGATCAAAGCAGATGCACCCATCTTTATCTGGAAAGTTACCAACTGAGCACATAAATAGTTTTTTTCTGTTACAATGGAAAATTTCAAACAGGTTCACACTCTTTAAAACTCAATTTACTCAGAACCAGTTAGGAGAGGAGAGGTATTTGCAGAGTGGGAGGAAAGCAACGCTTAATGGTAAAGCTACAACAGACTTCCAGCATATCAGTCACACTCCACATAGTTTGAGATTAATTCCCAGAGTTCTTTGCACACTTATTCATCGTTTTGCTCTTCGAAAGGAAGTTTTTTTCATTCCTGTGCCAACTCCATTGCGAAAGGACCTTTTCATTGACATCTTCTCCAAAATTGGCTTTAGAAAAGCTAGTCCCTCACTCCCATCCAGCCTGTCTGGGCAGCTGTTCAGCAGGATGAAGGAAGAATCGTACTTTCCAGACACCTGGCAATTCAGATGAGGGAAGAAGGAGAGAATGCAGCTTCAGGGTTAAAAGTTTATTTCAGCAGGAACAATTTTCAAAAGCTTACGGCAATAAACCCAATATATCTTAATCTTAAGGCAGAAACTTAGTCAAATCACAACATATATTTTACCTAGATACAAAAAATATTATTTGAAGGGATACCCATTTGTCTAATTTTTATACTTTTTATGTAATTGCTGCTATTCAGTATTTCTATCACGCACGGTACCTAGTAATCTTGCTGCTGTTATTTTGTAAGGAATATTTCAAGTGGCACTAATTAGTCCTGGGAATAGTTTTAAATTTTCACTTGAAAACCACCCAGGAGGATGAAACTCCAGGGTTTGGGAGGTTCTGCTGAGCCTCCTACCAGCAGTCCCGAGGTGCTGCGGGGGGGGCCCATTTCTTGAGCTCCGGGATCTTCACCTTGGGGTGAGGGTCCCGTCCTCATTGTGGGCTGAGGTCTGGATGGCGCATGGGAGCATTGGGGTGCTGACGGTAGAGGAGAGTGATGTGAACCCTGAGTGCTCACGCTGCGCTTCCAGCCCCATGCCTGGGGATGGAGAAGTCAGCTTGAGAGCAAAGGTCAGACACAGTAACAGCCACAGAGACCAGGGGCAGCGCGGACCTGGGCTTCCGCTGGGAATTGTGAATGCCTGTCATGTTCTCTCTCCTGCCTGGTTTCAGAATTGAGAAACACACCAACAAGGGACAAACACAAATCACATCACTAGCCAAAGCCGTGATCACCAGTGGTCTTAGAGCCCCATGCATCACATGCTTCATTTTATTTGGTTCCACAGTAAAGCTAGACTACTATTTCCTCTCTTTTATACTGGGAAGCCACCTGACTAGTGGATAAAGTTATTTGAGCTGATACTTTCTGACTCTAAGCCCAGGTTTCTCAGCTGTACCAGAAGTGTAAATTCCGAATTATTTTATGAAAAAAATAAAGAAATCTACTGAAAAGCAAAAACAGAAACAAAAGCCAATCCACGTTGCACCAGGTAACTTGAGGAGATGGGTGGGGTTGGGAGGGGAGACACCAATTAAGATGCATAAATGCATAAACTGATGATAAGTAGAATTGAAACCCCTTTATACAATCTATAAATATCCACTTTTCTGTCTTGGTGTGGGAAGTCAGGTTTGGCCTCGGGATCCTATAGCTGGAGGTTGAGGCTAGGTAGGGGTCCAGAAGGTTCTCGGTGGCTTTCCTTGCCTTGGCTGGTGACCTGCTGAGCTCTGCAGTTCCCATAGGAAGCATCCTACTGATCCCTGGGGAAATGATGAGCTTTCTGTGTATTGTTTCCTTTTGGATCTGGGAATAGTCAAAGACAGTTTCATAATATTGGTTATGGGGAAAACAATTTTACAAGCACCACTGTGTGTCTTTCCCTAAGGAATAAAGCAGGGGAAAGACAGCTATATTAAGTAAACAAGAAATAGAAAAGCGACAGATGCAAAGATTAGCCAGAGGACCAATTATATAAGTAACTGGAGATAGTTATTTGGATACAGGATTGATGATAAGTAAATGATAGTTAATTGCCATCTATTTTAAATTACCACCAACTCAGCCTAGGTATCAACTACAGAAAGGGAAACGATTCAGAGATTTCCAGAAATACTCAAGATCTGCCACCTTCACCTAACAGGAGGCCACGTTCTAGTTCTGAGGTCCCTAAACCCTCCCTGAAAATATTGCAATACCCTTTTCCCGTTGGAAGGCATTTTGTGCTGAGAGGAATGTTATACATGTTAACAGAATAATATACATGTGGCCTGCTGCTGAGCTTTATGAAGCTCCAAACAAAATCATAAAATCCCATAAGTCCCAGATACATCATCATCCCCCCTCAACAATCAAATTGGCATGCACACTAGCACCAGATGAGGGGGTAGTAATGACAGCAAAATTGTCACTTGCAAAACCACAAGTGTGGAAGATGCAGTCCAAGGTGAAATATTTCATTCGCAGGCAAGGAGGTCTTGTAAGTACGTTAGAAGAAAGAACATTCTTAATTTTAAAAAGCTACAGACAAGTGCCTCTTGTTCAATAGAAATGTCATGAGAAAACCTTTGGGGGAAAGAATAGAAAGTAATTAGGAAGACACTTGAGAAAATAGGCCAATTTATGGATTGTGACTCATCAACTTGATCAATGTGGTGTCTTATCAAATCAATGACTAAATTAGAGTTGAATGCTCATAGGAGTAGAACAAGAAAAAGACAGCTATCTTAAGTAAACAAGAAATAGAAAAATGGCATATGCAAAGATCGGTGAAAGGACCAATTGTATAAATAACGAGATCATTATGTTTAGATGCAGATTTATCATTTAGAGTTTGTGTGATAGCTCTTTATCCTAAACTTAGTGTCATAAACTTCGTTGATCTCAGTCATTACAATGGAAAAGATTAACATTAGGTGCAGAAAAGTTAAGTTCACAATGTCATGAACAACCACAGATAAACCTTCTTAAAATATTGGAAGAACTGAAATATCAACTGAAATAATATTAGACATTCCAAAGAAAATCTTTCATTTTCAGAATTTCCTGAACAGCTCAGGAAATACAATTAGGAGCTCCATGAAAGCCCTTAATAAATACATGAATTAATATTTTATGTACTCTTTCACTGGAATTTAAATTGTTGTCTGTATTCTTCATCTGGGAAATGTCTCTATTTTCTTGCAAAATTAAGAAATTCATGGCTTCAAAAAATAACTTGTGTTTTTGTATAATTTGGATGGCTAAATGTTCACTGTGACTATGAGCCCATGCATGCAGAGTAAACAAAATGTCATGGCAAAAAATTAAACATTTTAACTTTGAAATGAATGTTTCTCTATGCAAGAGATAACTCGAAGACAATTTCCAACAACTTTTATATTGGCCAGCATTTCTTCTGTCCTAACAATGCCTCTTTTGACTAATTTCAGGAATCTGTTTATACTTTTTTTTCTTGAAAGCTCTGGAAACAAAGAAAATTACTTTTCTGTCACATATTCTTTGAGTTTATTTTGTATCCAAATACTCTGCAATTTCACTCATCTATTCAAACAGAAAAAAAAACAGAGGCAAAAAAGAGAAAAGCCTTACCTTTGAAGACAGAGCTGGATAACACCAAAACACATGCATGGTGGACAGAGACAGAACCAAGATCAGATTGAGTTTCAATGGGCTGCAGAGTAGAAAGGACAGAAAAGGCTGGATTTAGTTTCTCATAGGCAGTATCAATTTAAAAAACATATAGAAATTCAAATTTTCTCCAGGCAGAGGAATGCAATGCTTTACCTAATCATTTTGGACTTCCTAAAATCCGTCCAGAGACAACAAATGGGTGGTCTTATTGTCGAGTTCCTCAAACTTACTGTCAGCTCGTCCTTGGAAGGCTCTTTTATAACAGAAAGTTCAGAAGTAAAAATGTCACCATGTCCCATCTCATATGACTAGTTGGTCTGCCTGTGGCCTTTTGTTCTTGTTAAGTAGGAAAAGGACAATAATGTACACACATTGTCATTGAGCTCCTTGTGACTGACTTCATTAAAGGTTACCATGAAGAATGCCCTTCAAAAGTCTGTCCTCTGTGCTGTGCTCATCGAGACGTGGAGGGCCAGAGGTCTCAAGAGGAATGAAAGGTCTTGTTTTGTCTTAAGAGCTTAAACTTGAAAGAAGGCTGGCATATTTCCTTGAATGTCTCCCGCATCTTGTTTCACAGACTGGTGCCAAAGAAATCACTATAGGACTTGGCAAGCAATGTTTGTGCATTAACTTCTCAACTGTGGTTTTCTACAACACTTTCTTTTGAACTACTGTGAAGGGTTCCACTAGTTCTTCAGATCAAGGGACACACTGTTCCTGTTCTGGGGCCCTCTTCAAGTTCCAGACCCAGAGTTCTGTAAGCACCTGCTGGTTTGACCATTTCTCCCTAGGGTACCAGGTTCCCCGAAGGCCTGGACTGTCCTTGCGTGTCAGTGGGCATTGGCGGAAGCCCATTGATTTGGGAAAGCTCAGTACGAACAGATGCTGCTGAGGTTGAGGTTCAGAATGTAGGAAACACCAAGGGAGATGCTTTCTGCTTGGATGGCCCCTGCTTCTGAGATGGTGCCAACATTTCTTTAATACAGAGGAACAGAGGAAAGCGCTTGCCTCCTTCAGATCAGCATATTTTGGAGGACAAAGCCGCCCTGCGTCTGGCACACTTTCTGCCTGCTTGTCAGTACTGTGTTTCTTTCTTTGGGAAACTTCCACTCTGCATGGTCCTCATGTGACTGTCGACCATGGAGTTCCAGTGCGACTCTCCGGAGAAGCAGAGAGCATGGGGCCAGAGCCAGGCTTGGGGCAGGGGATATAGCATTATTGTTTAGGGGGTCATCTCATGGCCAGCCGGTGGCAAAGGGCTGGCAGAGCACAGAGGGGATGAATGTCCATGTTCTCTGTCAGTTTCTTCTCAATCCTAGCTAAAATAAATACATGAAAACCAAAGGAGCAGAAGCGGGGCGGGGGCGGGTCACAGCCGCAGTATTCTAAGGGCTGAGCACTTGAATAGGTAGCGCTGAGAAGGGCTTGCTGACAGTCCTTCATAGGCTCAAGTCTGCCTGAAACCAGCCACTCACTGCTTTCTGCGGGACCTGAAGGAGGTCTCATCAAGGAGGACTAGAGAGAAATCTTTTTAAGGGTAATTCGCATACCAGGTGCCCTCCTCACTGACTTGCAAGAAGGCTAGATTCTCTGGGACAAGGTACAGAGAAGGTCTCCTGACAGAACGGATCGGTTAGGCACGGTGGAATGCACAGGCACTTCTAAAAACAAAGACTGGGAAAATACTAGACCCAGTGCAGAAGCCAGGGGTCTCTTCTGTGATACGGCATCCAACACACTTCTAGGCTTTAACCTCAACGAAAGCAACTGGAAAAGCCCTTCATTAACTGCCCTCCCTAAGAGGAAAACTTGGAAATCTAAAGACATGAAGGTTCCCAGACAAAAGCACTCCAGCCAACTGCAATGCTGGAGGCCTCCAGTCACAGATCCAATAGCACACAAACCCCCACGGGCCTGCTGCTGCCTACTCAGAGATCAACAGACCCACCAGACACAGCACAGTGAGTGAGCCAGAACCCAACATGAACAGTACAGGCAAGAGAGAATGAAAAAGAGAAAAGAAAAAATATTCTTTGAAGGACAAGAAGTTCTATTTATAAAACAAACAAACAAAAAAAATGAAGCTGTGTGAGAGGAAAAAATAGAAAGACCTAAACAAGCTAATGGAAATTAAAACTAAAGAAAACTCCATAGAAGGAACGAGAGACATGGTGAAGTAATTCCTCTAGACCTTATAGGAAAAAAAGATGAATTAAAAAAGTAAGGAGAATGAAAGAATAAGACTAGTCCAAGAGACCCAACATAAAACCAATTGGAATTCTGAGAGAGAAGAATGGGGAGACACAAGAGCTTCCATGAAAACAATTCAAGAACATTTATCATAAGAGTAAAAAAATCCATCCCTGCACAATGGATAAAATCAACTTATACCAATAGACATCATAAAATGTCAGCAAACTGGATTTTACCAGTGTCCATATCAGACATCTCAAAAGTGACATTAACAACCTAGTCTATACTGGAACAATGCTTTCAAAATTTGAGAGGGGAAAATGTAGCCAATCTAGAATATTGTTCCTACCAAATCGTAAATAACCTGAATTACTTTCTTAATATGAAATGATAATACAGATTTTCAGATACATAAGAGTACAAAATTATACTTCCTGTAAGACTTTTCTCAGAAAGCTACTCCAGGATGTGCCCTTCCTTTATAGGCTAATTGTACATAAACCTGTAACAAGGAAAGTTCGAGATGCATCCAAGAGATGAAGATGGGAGACAAAAGAAGGGAACTCCCGGGATGACAGCTCTCCATTGAGCTCACAGGGACGGTTGTCACCTGGGCAACAGGGGAAGGGAGGGACATGTGCACTCCAATGAAAAAGAGGGACAGGCATGCACTGCAGTTCCAGGCCTACTTGAGCCTGTGAAAGGTCGATCAGCAAGCACTCTTCAGATCTACCTACTCAAGTGCTCAGGATTTAGCAAATTGGGGTATTTCTATTAGCAGCCTCTTGGAGTGACTTCTGTGAGATGAAAGGAGCCAAAGAATGCCTGAATGTCTTGAGAGGAGAAATAGACAACTGGGGAATTAGGGCTCAGTTAGTCATGAATCCATACAAAACCAAGCAACGGGAAAAGAGGGACATATATTCACTCTAGTGAAATAACTGTTACCTACGAAGAAAAAGTAATAAAAGTTAACTACTTGAGTTAGCCAGGGGAGCATTTACGTAGTGATAGCAACCATGTAAATACCGAATACTCTTCTAACCCAAAAGCAATTTAAGTGTATTTGAAGCTGGGGCTAGGGCTGAGTGTATTTCTGTGGTGAAAAAACTGCCCAGCTTCTATGGTAGGAATACAAGACACAGGGCTGGGAAGGTGGCTCAGTGGTAGAGCACTTGCCTTGCATGCATGAGGCCCTGGGTTTGATTCCTCAGCATCACATAAAGAAAAAAGAAAAAAAGCCAGAAATGGCGCTGTGGCTCAAGTGGTAGAGCGCTAGCCTTGAGCTGAAGAGCTGAGGGACAGCGCCCAGGGCCAGAGTTCAGACTCCACGACCGGACCAAAAAAAAAAAAAAAAGGAATACAAGACACAATGTAGAAAATGAACAATCAAAATGCACTGTTGTTATTTAGAGATAAATACAAAGATAATCAGCTTTAAAAGGTTAAAAGTGATGGCTCTGGGGGAGGAAATTGAACAGGGAACAGAAACTACTGTTTTTGTGAAGTACTTCTCAGAATGATTTGATTCTTTAAATAGACTAAGTATAGTGTTAGCTGTGGTAAAAGTAATTCTTGGAAAAAAACATAGGTGAGCATGAAGGTATCAGGGGTCATCTCTACCATTGCATTGAGGAAATGCGTGTGATAAAAAGGCTCACACAAGAAATGAGAACCTGGGGATCTGATAGGGCCCTGGGAAGGGGAAGAGATGAAGGGGAAGGAGGAGGAGGAAAAGGAAGAGGAGGAAGAGGAGGAAAAAGAAGAAAGAAGAGGAGGAAGAGAAAGAGGAATAAAGACAGGGTAGATAGGGATGAAGAGAGAAAGAAAGACAAACACTGGGTTGGAGAGAGGGAGAAAAACAGCTGTGGACAGAGAGGGAGAGGATTCGAGAAAGAAGTAGGGAGACTGGAAAAGAGATATGGCTGTAGTCCTGAGCTCACATCTTCCTCTTCATCCTCACAACCTTGAGAACAATTAGCTACCTTTTGCCTCTGACCTTGATGGTATTATTTGCATATTATCTTACATGGTTGTTTTTTTTGGGGGGGGTCCGGTTGTGGGGCCTGAACTCTGGGCCTGGGTGCTGTCCCTCAGCTCTTCAGCTCAAGGCTAGCACTCTACCACTTGAACCACAGCGCCACTTCCGGCTTTTTTCTTTTTGCTTATGTGGTGCTGAGGAATCGAACCCAGGGCCTCAAGCATGCAAGGCAAGTGCTCTACCACTGAGCCAACTTCCCAGCCCTCTTACATGGTTTTGAAATGTTTCTTCCCCTTTCAGATGTTTGCCTTATCCCACAGACTTGCTCTTCTTTCAACTTCTTATACTTCAGATGATATTTCTGGTTCTATCGGTGATGCCCCATTTATATGTTTAAATAATTTGGTATGGATAATTCTTGGTTCAATCTGGCAAAATATGAAAACATCATTGCTTGAGATCTGTGAGGTAAATAGATTCCCAAGGAAATCTGGGGTCACCTTGCTCTCCAGGAGGCCCTTGCAATGACCAATTCTCACCTAACTGCTCTGACTCATCTACAGAACCACTGAGACCAGAAGAACTCCCTTATTGACCCACAGGTACTAATGACTGTATTCGGAAGAGAGAAAGTAAAGCTGTCAGCAGATTCTCAAAGATTCCCTTAAGAACCATGACCTTCCAGCCTCCAAAGAGAAGAGCGCTGGCCTACACCAGACCTGTATCCTCGCCAGGTCCTCTCACCACCAACAGAGAGCGCATAACCCATGGTGCCTCTTCCTCTCGGCCATCTGCCCGCGTGGCTCTCATTTGTTCACCCATTGAGCCAATGAGTAAATGGAGTATAGAGACTTGCAGCAAGAAAACTCAATAGGAGAGTTCTGGCACCTATTTGGTCTGGTGGGTTTGATCCTTTTCACCTATCTGTCTGGATTTGATCCTTGTTCAGACATATTTGTGCCCTCCAGCCTGCTATCCCCACAGATGGAGAGTAGTTCT